GGGGGGGGAGCCGGGCGGGAGGCCCAGGTGCTTAAGAGCTCAAACTTCAGTGATCCTGCGGACTCGCCCTGAAGGTCTGAACACAGCGGGTAGATAGTAGGCAGCTGATTCTGCTTGGGCCTGAAGGCCCCCCTCGCCACCCCTCGTGGAGCTGGGGGAGGGCTTGGTTAGATGGCTTTCCGGCCGGGCTCTGCAGAGGGCGGGAAAGCCTGGCTGGTAGTCGTAGGCGCTCAGTCATTGACAGGCGGGACCAAACCTCTCAGCCCAGAGCCACTGGCCTTTGTGGCTGTGTTAGGAGCTGTGTTGGGGAGCGAGAGGGCTAAGTGGTCACCAGGTGGGGCGTGTGTATGGGGTCTTTTGTCCAATTTCCTGGACATGGCCCATGGGAAGGACAGGAGACTAAGCAGGGTGGTTGCAATAGAAGGCTTTGGAGTCAGACAGACCTGGGTGCAGTCCTTGCTCTGCATGTGACCTTGGGCAAGTAATTGAACCCCATGGAGCCTCAGATTCCTCATCTGTAAAATGGGTGCAAATAAATGCAGCTTTCACTGTCTAGGGTTCCTGTAAGAATGATATGAGAGAACGCCTGGAGAGGGCTGGGCGCCTAGTTCAGGCTCAGTAAAATGTATCTGGTGCGAGGTGAGATTCCCCATTGCTTCCCGTTTCGCCCTTGCTCAGAATTTATTCTGGGCTGTGGTCCCAACTCCCAGGTTGCAGCAGGTAGTGACAAGTGTCCCGGGAAGGTGGCTGTCCGGCGTCGGCCTAGATAACGTCCAGGCCGGACCGGCCTGCTCACCGCTAATCGTCTAATCCTGTTTCCTGTTCCACACACACCCGGTGACAGCTGCTGGGGAGAGAAGCAGGAGGGGCGAAACTTCCTCCGCGTCCAGCAGTTGGGCGGAGGCTGAGCGTGAACTTGAGGTTCGCCCGCAGAAGTCACTCTTGGATGAGCTTGGCCAACGTCTGGGCACGGACCCCACTATCTCTCTTCACCTAACTCCATGTTTGGAAAAATGCAGATGGTGCCTTAGTGATTTTCCAACCTTCATTTATAGTTTCTAGTTACAGAAGCAACAACTGTTTCTTATAAAAATGGGAGAGCACACAGAAGAAAGAAAATCAAATCATTTAAAAACCCCGTCTCCAGCAGACTGATTAAAATATGCGCCAAGGTTCTTTTGAAAGGTTAGCCTGTGGCTTAAAAAAACATCTAATCCTAAAAACCAGTATTTCCCAAACTGCAGCGTCTCTACCCTTGGTGACAAAGACGATGAATTGAGAGGGTGCCAGACGGACTGATTCCGTAGACGTTACTGCTCTGAGAGTAAGCTCGGAGGGAGGGAGGCTAACAGGAATTAACAAGTTGATTATTTAAAGAAAAATATTAACTAAATTGCATTTCACACTGAGTTGCAGACTGAGTACATTCCGCCCCATAGACTTCGGCGTGCATGTCGTTAATTAAATTTTACGGCAGGTAAAATTTACATACAGGGAAATACACAGACCTCAGGTGCACCATTCACTTTTGGCCAAATGCACACACCTGTCCCAGCCAGGCCTCCGTCGCCACATAGAGACCCCTGCACCCCGGGAAGTGCCCGCGTGCCCCACCCCGGTGAGCTCCGGCCCGGCCTCCCCAGCGGACGCAGTCGGTGCCCTGCTCCTCTCGCTGTCAGTTGGTTTTGTCTGTTCTAGAATTTCGTACGTGAATCATTCAGTGTGCACCCTTTTGCATAAGGCTGCTTTCTCCTGGGGAGCTTTTAAAACTCCCCATGTCTAGGCTACACTGCAGGGGAACAAAGATCAGAGTCTCTGGGGGGTGGGCTCAGGAGTGAGAATTTAAAAAAAAACACGGGCGTTACAGTTTGCAGTCACGTCTGAAATCCACCCCCTAGAGAGGTTTCCCCATCCCGAGCCCTCCCCACTCTAAGCCCCGTTTCTCAGCGACCCCACCCCAATGGTTAATGCTCCCACGTTAGAAATGAAGTTTTTAGAGACCCGCTCCCCGGGAGGGGTTCTTTCCCCCCCCAGGACAGGAGATGTTTAGATTAGTACACAGAACAGTTAGCATTCCTGCGGGAGCTGTTGCTTTGGGGTGCTAAGTATTTTTGTTTTAAATCCTCACCTAAGGATATGTTTTTATTGATTTTAGAGAGAGAGGAAGGGGGGGAGAGAAACATCACTGTGAGAGAGAAACATCGATTGGTTGCCTCTCGTACGCGCCCTGACCAGGAATTGAACCCACAACTTTTGGGTGCACAGGACAGTGCTCCCACCAACTGAGCCACCCAGAAGGGCGCTAAGCCTTTCTGTGCAACGTATTATTTTCTAACCCCGAGAGGTGGCGTGTCTTCTTCCCATTTTCTAGACAGAAGCCTGAGGCTCAGAGGAAGGGGGAGCCTAGCCAGCACCTCATGGCCAAGTTCAGGGGGGCCTGAAGGAAGGCCCAGCCACACAGCCTGGCTTCAGAGCCCCAGCCTGGAGTGCCTGACATTAAATGGCCTAGAGATGTGACAGGGGAGCCCCCAGATCTCAAACCGAAGTTGTCCTAAGAGTTGTGTGCTGCAGGCCAGAGAGGGAGGTGTCTTTGAGTTTCTCGGTGCCCCTGGGAGCTTCCAGCCCTGGTTAAATCAACGGTGGGGAGGTTAGGTGACTTCTTGTGGGCCCCTGTCCTCACCAGCCGGACAGAACGACCGGCATCCGCCATCCCTTGTCCAGCTTGCTGACGCGGTGGGCACCCAGCAGCAGAACAATTGTGGGTGCCAAGGAGAGAGCGGTTCTTGCCAGACTGAGCGAAATGCCACCTGGGGCGAACCCATTCCTCTCGCGTCCACGCATTACATCAAAATAACTTCCCCGCCCGGCCGGCGTGGCTCAGCGGTTGAGCATCAACCTAGGATCCGGGAGATCGCGGTTCGATTCCCGGTCAGGGCACAGGCCTGGGTTTCGGGCTCGATCCCCAGCGGGGGCATGTAGGAGGCAGCTGATCAATGACTCTCTCATCATTGATGTTTCTCTCTCTCCCTCTCCCTTCCTCTCTCTGAAATTAATAAAGACATATTTTAAAAAATGACTTCCCCAAGCATATTAGGTTAATAAATCGCGAACGCTGTCTCGGGGTTGTGGGGCCCTCTGTGAATTTAAGCACAGCCTGGAGTGCTCCCCGAGAACAGGAATGTTACAGTCCCCAGCCTCGCCCCTCTGCACTGCTCCAGTTGTTGGGGAAAGGCTGCCAGGAACTGAGTAAGCAGCGCAGGGGACACCACCGCCGTCGCCCAGCGCCAGCAGCCGGCCACCTGCTCCCGTGAAAAGGCCGATTCAGCCCGCTGCGGTGGAAAAAGGTTCTCAGGGGCGCTCGTTAGCTGGCGGCACGCTGTGGGTGCAGCTTGGCCGCGGGTTTCAATATTCCCTTGTAACGTTTTACAACCCAGAGCCGGCGACAATGGCGTCATTCAGTGCACTCGCTCACGTGGAACAGAATGTGAGGGCCCAGGAGGAGCTGGGCTGCGGCGCCGACTCCCAGGGCGGAACAAGGAGCTCGGGACCCTCGGCGGGTGCCCTGTGAGCCCAGACGAGGCAGAGCGAGCTGGCAGGATCGGGTGCAGCTGTGGACACCGCCAAGAGCAGGGGACTGGACAGTAAACGACAGGTTCTGACAATAGGGTCAGCAGTTCGGCGCGTAGACCTTGACACTGCCCGGGTGTAGCCAATGCCCAGCCCTGTTATCACCAGGAAGCTTTTTATCACAGGACGGTTGTTGCCCAAGCAGTTGGTATGAAGGCAGCGGTTTCCTATTACCAAGTGTAAGTTGGCGAGAGCTTTGGAATAATACTGACCCGGCCTGACACTCAGCTTTACCCTTCTTAGCTGTGTGGTCTGGGACAAGTTGCTTAACCTCTCTGAAACTTAATTTCTTTACCTCTAAAGTAAATCTAATCATACCGATGAAGTGGAGTTCTTGCTAGCATCAGATGAGGGAAAGCATTTAAGTCAACCAGTACCGCGGCTGGGACATCAGGAGACACAGGACAATGTGGGCGATTTGGAGGAAGATGAGGATGGTGACAGTGATGGTGGTGGTGATTATGATGGTGATGATGGTGATGGTGATGATGGTGATGGTGGTGATGATGGTGATGGTGATGGTAGTGATGATGGNTGATGGTGATGATGGTGATGGTGATGATGGTGATGGTGGTGATGATGGTGATGGTGGTGGTGGTGATGGTGATGGTGGTGGTGGTGATGGTAGTGGTGATGGTAGTGATGGTGATGGTAGTGATGATGGTGATGGTGATGATGGTGGTGATGATGGTGGTGATGGTAGTGATGGTGATGATGGTGGTGATGGTAGTGATGATGATGGTGGTGATGGTGAGGATGATGGTGGTGATGGTAGTGGTGATGGTGGTGATGGTGAGGATGATGGTGGTGATGGTGGTGGTGATGGTGGTGATGGTGGTGGTACTGATGGTGATGGTGATGATGGTGATGATGGTGATGGTAGTGATGATGATGGTGGTGATGTTGGTGATGAAACACCAGCCCTCTGTTGCTACCCTTCTTTCCTGATACACAAGGGCCTCTCAACTCTCATTTTTATCCTCTTGTGCCCTGGATTCTTCAATGATGCTCTCAAGCTGTGGAGAAATATAATTTATCTTCTCATCACAAGAACTTCAGAGATTTTCCCCTGTACTGCTACTGATCGTGTTGCTTTGATGAGCCCAGTGACAATTACCCGAATGTGGTTTGATTGCAGCATTTCCTCCCCTTTGTCTCTACCATCTCCTACTGACTGAGAAGTCACTTCACCTTCCCGCGCCCCTACTTTGACACCTATCAGGTGGGCTCGCAGCTGTCGTATTTCAGGCGTGATGGATGGTGGGGAAGATGTTTCAGGCTCCTCGGAGAGAAGCACGCTGTGAGGGACAAGTGGTTATTGGGGTGAAATGTCTTTCCCATCTCTGTGAGCATTAGTAATCAAAGGCAGGACTTGCCCTTTCCAGACAGTAATTTTGCAGTTTGGCAATGCGGAACGTAGAATTCCTCAGGGCCCATTGATACACTCTCTTATAAATTCCTTCAGCCAACATTTTTGGGAGTTATTTTCTTTAATTAAAAAAAAATAACCATCTCCATTAAGAATGTAAAACTAAGATCCCCCTCCTTTTGGGGGAGCTCCGACAGCCCAGAACTTCCACTAAGCAGACCCAAATAGAATTGCCAGCGAGATTTGACAACTTTAATGTTTTATTATTATAATTCTTCTTCATTTTCCATGACGTAGCTGGAGCCGCAAAGCAAGAACTATAAAGCTAATTTCATTCCTTTCAGCCTGTGGGACCCAGGGGGAGATTCTGAGTGGTGTGGCCGCACGGGATGGCTCCAGCTTTGGTTCTGAGATGGCACATGCCACGGGAAATCTCGGCTGGGAGACCCCTGGGTGTCCTGAGGGTGTCTGGAGCCTCATGGAAACTTGGCGGACACTTTGTGTCCCCTGCCTGGCTACTCTGACGTGCTTTCACATGAGAGACAAAGGCAGGGGCCCAGAGTGGAGGTCGTTATACCCCTGAGGGGTGGGAGTGGTGAACCCCAAACCCCTGCTCCCCATAAAGCACATTGTGTTTTAAATATTAATGGAAGTAATTAGGAGATTGTCTAGAATCATTAAGGGGACTGTTAGGTTAAGCTTCTGGTGTGTCTCTTTCCAGCTCTGTGACTATGAGCAAGTTGCTTACTCTCTTTGGGCCTCAGTTTCCTAATCTTTAAAATGGGGACAAGAAAGGCACCTACTTTCTATGGTCATAGAGGGGATAAAATGGGTTAATGCAGCAGCCTTCAAAATGTGTTAGGTGTAGTGTTTTCTTCTGTGAGATGATTTCAGGTGTACTCTTTGATTTTGATAGGTAAGAATTTATTTTAGCAGCACTAGAGGAACTGTAATTAGCATCACAAGCCCATAATTTCACAGATATTATTGCTCAGAGTGAGGCTGAACTTATTTGGATAAAAACTTAATTTAAAAAAATGCACTAAGTTAAAGAAGAGTTGGTTCTGGGTCATGGCAAAAAGCACAACTCCGTTTGGAATTTACTGATATGTATTTCTTCTGGGTCAGGGATGCTGAGCCTGTTTAGTGCCATGGACCTCCCTGCTCGTCTGGTGAAGATGGTAGATTACTTCTTAGAATAATATGATTAAATGCACAAAATAAAATGCATGGATTGCAAAGGACACCAATTATACATTAACAATGACAATAATGATGATGGCTGTCATTTGTTGAGCACTCATTATGTGCCAAATATTGTTCAGTTTTTTTCACATGTATTCAGTCATTTCTTCTCTCAACACTCCTTTGAACTGGGGATTTTTATTACCCCTTGGAAAACAAAGGCATGGAGAAGTTAAATATTATGTCAGTGGTGACAAGTACAGCAGCTCTAAAGGAAGTTCTAAGGCACAAGCAGTAAATTCAGAGTTGGGTAATTTAGGATCATCCCTGACTATCCATTCTTGACTCATTTACCTTTCTGCATACACGTAGAACTATTCATAAACCTACTTGCCTAATGTATAAGGCATGAAAAGTTAGTGCCCAAATATGTATATCCAAGGCATATGATGCACTTGAGTATAATTAGATCACTTTGCTCATCAAAGACCCCTTTGTTTTAATTCTGTGATTTTTCTGGTGGATTCATTGACCCGTGGTTCAGCCAGTGGGAGGATCTGTATCAGGACACCAATCGATGTTATTTCCCATCTTCTCTCTTTCAGTAAAGAATATCCCGTGGTTCCCAGGAGCACAGTGAGACAAAAAGTGGCCTCCAACCACAGCCCTTTCAGCAGTGAGCCTCGAGCTCTCTCCACCTCATCCAACTTGGGGTCCCAGTACCAGTGTGAGAATGGTGTATCCGGACCCTCCCAGGACCTTCTGCCCCCACCCAACCCATACCCACTGCCCCAGGAGCACGGCCAAATTTACCATTGCACCAAGAGGAAAGGTGAGTGTGACATCCTCTGCCCAACATGCCTCTTCCTCTACTTCTTTCCTTTCCTTGGGAAAAAAATAAAAGTACACATAACTGCATTTATTTATTTTAAAAATGCAAACAATACAAAAGTACACAGAGATTGTAAGAAATTGAAACCATACCAGTAAACCATGTTTTCCCCCAATTCTAGCTCCTTCCGTGGGGAAAACTTATTTGAAAGGTCCAAATGTGTTTTATTCATGTACACACGCGCACACACATAACTAAAAATAGCTTTGTTTTAACTTCTAGCAGTTACTCTCCAACTGTATATATTGTGCAGCTTGCATTTTTTTAAAACTTCAGAATATGCTATAGATATCTGAACCCAGAGCTGCCTCATTTTATTTTTTTTAAGTGATGAAGAGGAAGTATTACCTCAAAACTCTCACTAGCGGACAGGCAGGTGGCTTCCAGCGTGCCTGGTTGTATCACAAGCCGTGCTGCTGGGATCGTCCTTTTCGTTGGATGTGCCGGTTTAGTTCATGTGCCAGGCTTTCTCCCAGGTGGATTCTGAGCTCTCCTTTCCTTTCCCGATCAAAATCAGCACAGAAAGAAAAAGAAAGAAAATCACAACTGATTTTTTTCTTCTTTGCACCCCTTTTTCAATCTACTGGGCTGGTGTCTGAGACACTCATAGTTTCCTTTGCCAAATAAGAAATGGATGGCTTTTCCTTAATCATTTGAGTCCAAAGGGACGAAAGAAGGAACTTTCTGGTGGCCCATTTTTTGGGGGGTTTTTTTGAGCCCGAATGGAAACAGGTGACATGGGTGGTGTGGCTGAGCTCAGCTTACTAGATCCATTGCTTGGTGTGAGCTGCAGACAGGATGGGTGAGGACAGGAAAGACAATGGGGCCATGGAAACACAGGTTCGAGTCTCACGTCTGCTACCAGCTTCCTGTGTGATCTCAGGCAGGTGTTCCAGGCTCTCTGTGCTTCAGTGGCCTGCTTTGTAAATGGTGCTAAGTTTCCTAGAGCACCTGATACTTGTGAGCACCCAGGGAAGTGGTAGCTATGCTTGAGTAAGTGGCAGGTATCACTCCAGAAATCGTGTCCCAGGGAGAAGCAAAGAGAAGGCTGCTCACCTAGGTGAAGGCTTCAGAAAATGGATACAGGGGGATGGGACCATGTAGCCTGGTGCTTATGCCCATGATCTGCAGAATCAGACAGTTTGGATGAATCATATCTTTGCCAGTTGCAAATTTTGGTTAGGAGCCAGTCACTTAACCCCTCTGTGCCTCATTTTAAAAAAACAAACCTGTGCCTGTGTGGACCGTCTCATAGGCTTGGTGTGAGGACGCCGTGCTATCAAGCTGGTGTTTAGCGCAGGGTTGACTCAGTGGCAGTCGCTGTTTGGCTCAGGCTGGCCCAGATCCTAGTCTTTAGACTGATGTATCCCAAAGCCTCAGTAGTGCCTTTGGACATCCTGTGCCCAGGGTTTGGCCCTTTAAAAAAACAGCAACAACTCAGTAATAAGGACCAATGGAAACGAAGCTTTGGTGGCTTTCTCTGGAGCTGGGGTCACACGAGGAAACTCACCACGTTGACTCTGTGACAGTTACTCATTTTGCATTTTGAAGGAGGGAAGAGCTGTCTTTGGTCCAAGCTCAGGCTGGGGAGCTGACCTGGGTGGAGGCTGAGGTTTCCGGACTTACCTGCAGCCCATCCAAGCTCCTTGGATCTCAGAGGCCTGAACAGTATCACTCCCCCCAGACCCCTTGGCCCGACTCCCGGCAGGCCCTCTGGCGGGTGGGCTGCAGACCAGATGCCTGCAAACGTGTCTGCCGGTTCAGGCACGAGCGGGGAGGAGGAATGTCTCACGGAGCACAGGTCCCTGCCCGGAAATCCTGTTTTCTGTTATACTTAAGGGTGGCCTGCCCCGGGTCCAGACCGCAACCTTTTCGGTAACGCTATTAAATAGGTGCTTCTATTCACCAACGTTACAGATGGGGAAACTGAGGCTCAGAAAGGTGAAACCACGTGTGGGCGGTTCTTGAAGGCGGAATCTGAACCCACGCCTGGTCTGCAGGCTCCCCTGGGCCCCGAGCCACCGCTCTGTGCTATTCCCTTTGCTTCTCAGCAACAATCTCAAAACTTCACCCTCCGCTGGCGACTTGCTCTAGAGACTGGGTCAGGCGCTCAGCAGGTTTGAATTAGGGAGCTCGGCCTGTTAAATCAGCGCCAGGCCGAAAGAGAAGGTTGCGGAGAATCAAGGCGCTTTTTTCGGTTCAGTATTTCCAGCAGCATCCTACACGCGCGTGCCTGGCCGGGGAACCGCTTGCGATGACGGGAGCCGTGGACTTGCACGGGGTACTTGGTGGCATCCTCGCGTGAACGCGTGGTCAACTTCAGGTGGCCACTGGGGAGGCTGGAGCTGGTGGCTGGTCCATTGCAAGACATGGCCATAGGTGACACTTTTCCAGCTGTTTGGCCCTGGGCGAGCTGCTTTGACTTTCTGAGCCTCAGTTACCTTTCCTGCAAAATGGGCATAACAACAGTACCCACCCTGTGGGCTTGTTAGGGGATGAAATGAGACCATCCTCGTAAAACACCTAAAACAGGAGCTGACATAGTAAGTGCTCAGCCTGCCCTGGTGCAGCTCGCTCGTCACAGCGGATCAGACATTCTAGTGACATCTAATTATATGGCTCTTGGGTGGAAATGGTGATCAGACGCCATAAAGGGGATACTCAAAGTGCTAATGAACTTGAAAGGGGGTATCAGACTCGGGGGGATCGGGGAAGAATTTAAGCGCCGAGTAGCTGGATAAGAGGATAGTGGGTGTCCAGGCACAGAGGAAAGGGCGTGTGCAGCCCCTGGGAAGATGGGGAGCCTGCCCCCTACCCTTTGGGGAGTGAACCAAAGGCCAGGGCAGCTGGAGCTTGTGAATCATTCCAAGGACTTTAGGTTTTATCCTGACACCGAAGGGCAGCCATCAGAGGGGTTTAAACCAGTGAGTGACGGGATTCCGTTTGTTTTGAAGCCATCACTTGGCCGGAATAGGAGGGGACTAGAATTGACACCAGAGCTTAGTTGGGAGGTTGCAGGGGGCTCTGGGGCTCGAGCTCACGGTGGCTCAGACCAGGCTGTGGGGAGACGTGGTGGAATCAGGACTCGATGATGGGCTGGAGATAACAAGGTGAAGAATTACCCCTTTTTCATGGATGAGGACACTGAGGCTCAGAGAGGCTAAGGAACCTGCCCAGTGCCACCCAGCTAGTGAGTGGCCCCACCCCTAATCCACAGGGCGACCTATGCACTGGGGTGCATGGGACTCGCACCCTGTACGGGCTCCTTTCACCCTTCCAGAAACCTCTGCCCTTCTCACCTCCCTCCACCCCCAAGAGAAAGCTCCTGGGGACAGGGAACATTCCAGCCAGGCTCTGTCTGTCCTGCCTGCCTCAGAGACGACAAAAAAGCAATTCATCATCAGCCTCCATTGTAAAGTGATAAGGAATCAGCGGAGGCTTCCTTCCAGTTCGGGATTCCCGTTAAGTGATAACTCCATGGGTGGCTTTCCCCTGGCCCCTGGCTGCCCCACTCCCTATCTGACTTCCCCTCATTGTCTGTCTCCCTTCCAATGAGCCCGGGAGGCCAGCGCAATGAAATGTCAAAGGGCCAGGCAGGCCAGAGGGCTCCTTGTGTTTGGGCCCAGCTGTCTCCAAACTATCTGTCCCGATGGATGGAGCCGGGAAGGTCTTTTATCAATGCCACTCAACCACAGCCGGGACCCCGGGGCCTGGGAGAGCACTTGCCTGTCTTCCTTCCCCCCCTCCCACTCCGACGACCCCCCACCCCATTAGAAACCCAGGGCAACCCAAATAAAGATTTTAGGCGAGCCATTCACGCATTGGATATGCAAAGGGAAGTCAGAGGTGAAAGGGGAAGGGGCACTGGATATGGTAAAGGGTTTGCAGGGTACATTTGCTCAGCGTGATACACTTTCTTAGAGCAGCTTCACAGGCTTCCTTCACTGGACCCTCCCTGTGCTCCTTGAGCCAGGGGAGATGTCCCCCCTCCCCATTTCTCAGGGGCAAGCAGAGGACGAATAGGCTGGGCTCCATCGCTGAGGCCCTGCGGCAGCAATCTAACCTGAGGGCACCTGAGGGCGGATCTGGGATGCATTCGTCAAATAGATATTGCCTGGGCACTTACTTTGTACTGGGGTAAGAGCAAGATGGCAGAGCTCTCTGCTCCCGTGAAACCTGTGTTCCACTGGGGGAGACAGGTAATAAGGAAGAAAATAAGTTGAATGGCTTCAGAGAATGGCTTCCCAATCAGGGATAGTCCTACAGCAGCATTCCAGTCCCTTCTATTTTAAACTAAGAGCTAAAATCCACCCATTCATCTATGCACCCAC